TATTCACCAGAGAAACATATTACAATGGGCTGCACACAAAACTATTAATTTAATGTCCCTCGTGCACATTGTTGCCCAAGGAGAAGAGGGAGATGGGACATTTATGTTTGTAAAGTTTTTATTATTGAAAACATAAGAGATACAGAGTTACAAACGTATATGTCACGGAAATAGGCCATTGTTTTGAATGTGTGTCTTTTCGCCATAACCTCTAAGGAGGTTGTACTCTTGTTTAGTAAGACCTCATCTTATGAGGTTTTACTTTTTCCTGGGTACGATCTAATAAGTAGAGAAGCATGTAGTTTGGACTTTGTGTTTCAAACTTTCGATGATCTAAAACCAAAGACAAGAAATGAAACGTGTTCATTATGGATGACAGGAATCAGGCCAACAACCTCTTGATCAGTTGTCAGACACTCCAGCCATTAGACCACACAACTATTTGAAGGTAGGCGGTTCGTTTGAAGGTTGTTTGTTTTCTTCTCCAGTTTGCTAATAATCGTTTTATATTTTCTAGTCTCTTACGGGTATTAATTAACCAAATGTCATTTAATTCAACATTTAGGGTCATACCTAGTACATCAAAATTACCATTGTGCCAGTCTAACTTTTTGTGTGGACAATATTTAATACTACTGCCTGACGTAGAACCTAACCATAGGACCTTAGTTTTGTTAATATTGATCTTTAGACCAGACATTTTATAATGTATCAAGTATATTAAGCGCAATACATAAACTTTGTTCAGATCCATCTAAAAATAAGTCTGTATCATCAGCATATTGATAAATTTTGTATTCATTATCATTTAGTCTGATAGGAGCCTAATATTTTCGCTGATACATCGCCCTGATATAAAACCTGTTTGATTTTCATGTATTAGTGTTGGCAATGATCTTCAAATACAATTTGCTATGCAGCAACTTAGGATTATGTACAAAGTATTTAATAGAGTAATGGGTCTCCAATTTTTAAGTATTCTTCTGTATTTATTGGGTTTAGGTATGGTAGTTATAACACCCCTTTTCATAGTTAGTGTCAGTCGATTATTCTCAAAGGTATCCTTTATAAATCTATAAACCCAAACAGATATCTGTCCAGAAAAAAATTCAAAATTCAACTGAGAACCCATCTATACTTGTGGATTTATTTCTTTTCATTTTATGGACTACTTCTATTTCTTTTTTTTTGTAAGGGTTCATCAAGAGACAGAGATAGATTTTCCTCTAATTTTCATTAACAATGTTTCTTGGAAGAGAGAATCGTTTATTGATAATTTCAAATCTTCGTCATCAACAATGTTATCATTAAAAGAAGATTTGTCTTTGTATTCATTTTTAGTCTCTGCAATTGTATTTTTGACAAGATCAATATAATGTTTTTGATATAAAAGAGAGGTATTAAATTTCCAATATCCTTTACCCTATCTTTATTTCCAGCATTTGTTAGAGTAAGGGAAATAACGGAGTGATCCGATTTGTATTCTGGCAAAATTGATGAATCTATTGTCATATCTAATAAATCTTGTGAGGTTATGAAGAAGTCTAACCTTGCTTGTTGGCGGGGATTTTTTTCCACCACGTACATTTTTCGCATCTTTATTTAGTTGTCTCCAAACATCCAGAAGATCTAGTTCTTGTGTTTTATCCATTAATACTTTTCTTGCTTTTGGATTATTTACATGTTTGTAGTTTTCAAGATCTATATTTGGGTTTAACACTTAATTCCAAATTACCGTTGAACTATTGACAAATTCGGCCATTTTTAAAAAAAAAGCTTATAAAATTCAGGTTTATCGTCATTTGTATCGTCATTGTATTGTGCCCTCTTCTATATTTGAAAGCTTTCAAACATAAAGCCCGAAAGTGATGCAGGTCTCAGACGTTTACCACTTCGGTGAAACCCACGAGCACGGGTATGGTGCTGACAAACCTAGAAACATAAACGGGTCGAACCGGGATTCAAACCCCCAATTATATGGTTCTGGCGTGCCCAAGGGACGTAACTCTGCACAGCGAATCGCGGCGCCTCAGTCGATTGGGCCACCCGTGCACCCTTACCACACTTAGAAGAACATGGGTTATAGTGAAATATTTTGTTGTGGATATAACATGATGTCAGAGGGGTATATCTACAAAACTTTTAGTCATTTGAGCAGATTGTTTTGCTGGGAAATATATAGGGCTTTGTGACCTTTGAGACAATGGCCAAACCTGTTGTGATAAAGTATTTGCAGAAAAAAACAACGCTTAAATTTTGGACTCAAACACGTGTTCTCAGTTTCATCGATAAAAACAACAACATGGAATTAAACTTTAATAAGCTATTTATTCTTCACAACTGACACCAGGCAGTAGCAAAAGGCGTGGCATGTCCCGTGTGTCAGAGACAGAGACCGTTCAGGTATGTGTAGGTTTTGAAGTTTGTTATATGAGTAATATGTGTAAAAAACATCTCCATTTTAATTTTTCACTAATCATAGACAAAATATTGGAATATATTAATTAAATAAATATAAAAAACCCAAGAAAGCAGTGAAGCTGATCATCCAAATCCAGCCGCACCCTGGTATCAGTGTAATTATGATGATGTTAAATGATTGGAACGCAGTGACAAACCGAATCAGTGCCTTCATTTTGGACAAAGCTGTAATAAGGGACCGTTTAAGTCAGTGGGAAGTAAAGGTGAAGTGAATGAGTAAAATTTCACTCACAACAGGACACTATGGCTTCGTGTATAGATAAAAGGCATATGTAGCTTCAGGTATACACATAGGCCATATGTAATTTCACGTATATACAAAATGTCACTATATAGTTTCACGTATATACAAAATGTCACTATACAGTTTCACGTATATACAAAATGTCACAATATCGTTTCACGCATATACAAAATGTCATTAATAGTTTTATGTGTGCACAACACCACTCTGTAGTTTCCTATATACACAACACCACTCTGTAGTTTCCTATATACACAACACCACTCTGTAGTTTCCTGAATAACAAAAGGCGCCATTCCAGCAGTTGCCTCATGTACAAGCAACGCTTCGTGAAAATATTGAATCGTTTTTGAGTTATGCGTTAAAACTACATCTGAACGAAGTCCAAATTTTTGCCTTGGAATCGAAAATTATAAGAAATAAAAATATCATAAATAGCAAGGTTCAGAACTTGTCTTGATTTTTATGCCATGTTTCAGATGTGAACCATTGTGAACAGCTGAAAAAATAACCCTACTCTCATATGTACATATGTTCATATAACTTGTTTACAAATTCCTGTAAAGCAAACACCACCTGTTCCACCCTTGTCTGACGTGTTTACAAAGTTTAAATTGGATATTGAAAAGGTTATGAATGATGCTCCAGAAATTACACACAGTGATAACGCATAGAGGTTTTTAAAGGACATGTAACAAATACGAGGGCGGGCTGAAAAGTTCTAAGCCTAACTGTGAAAGACCCGTACCAAGTCAATGGTTTTCATTTATTTCTCCACATAGTCCCCTTCCAGGTTTACACACTTATGCCAGCGATGCTGCAAGGCCTGGATGCCGTCAAGAAGAAATTTTCTTCAGCCACCCTAAACAAGTCATTCTCAGCAGAAATGACGTCATCATTACTGGGGAAATGGCGACCGGCTAGTTCCTTTTTCATCTTGGGAAACAGGTGGAAGTCCGACGGGGCCAAATCGGGTGAATAAGTTGATGGTCAATTGGTTGGAAACCACAATCATGAATCGCTGATATACCGATTTGTGAACAGGAGCATTGTCTTGGTGGAACAGGACTCCTTTAGTGAGCATTTCCCGTCGCTTGGCTTTGATAGCTTTACGCAACTGTCTCCATAGAACAGCATACCACTTCCATTGATAGGCTGGCCTTTTTCAAGAAGAATCAGCAGAATACCCCTGGAATCCCAAAGATTTGGTTTCTGGTTGAAAATGATGAATCCAGGTCTCATACATGGTTGCAAATCGGACCAAAAACTCATCGGATTCTGCTTCAAAACGGCATAAATTGTCACGGGACGTCAGCAATCTGAAACGCTGATATACCGATTTGTGAACAGGAGCATTGTCTTGGTGGAAGAGGACTCCTTTAGTGAGCATTTCCCGTCGCTTGGCTTTGATAGCTTCACGCAACTGTCTCCATAGAACAGCATAACACTTCCATTGGTAGGCTGGCCTTTTTCAAGAAGAATCAGCAGAATACTCCTGGAATCCCAAAGATTTGGTTTCTGGTTGAAAATGATGAATCCAGGTCTCACCCATGGTTACAAATCGGACCAAAAACTCATCGGATTCTGCTTCAAAACGGCATAAATTGTCACGGGACGTCAGCAATCTGACACGTGTCTGATCCGCTGTCAAGAGGTTTGGCACCCATCTTGCAGAAACTTTTGTCATTCCCAACTCGTTGGTGATAATGTGCTCAACCCTCTCATGAGAGATGCCCACAACACTGGCAATACGTCGAGTGGTCAATCGTCGATCAGCCATCACAATGTGATGTACCTGGGTAATGTTTTCTGGAATGGTTGCTGTTGAAGGCCTTCCTGGACGCGGGTCATCGTCAAGGTTCTCTCTGCCACGTTTGAATTCTGCAGCCCACTTCTTTACAGTGGAAAAAGGAGGGGCATCATCCCCTAAAGTGGAGACCATGTCAGCATGTATCTGTGTTGGATTTAGCCCTTTCAGTTGCAGGTACTCGATGACTGCCATATAGCCAGTTTTGTCCATTGCTGGTGATTTCAATGTGTAGGTTCACAAGATGGTCTGGTACAAAGACAATAATAACACTACAGTTGCAGATCTTACGTCTATGATTCATTAAATGATTGTACTTGTTGGTGGCAAAAGTTTGTTTCAATCCGATTGAGATATCCCACTCAGGCTTTGAACTTTACAGTCAGCCCTCGTGTTAATGAACTAGTGAAAGTTTGAAATGCAACACAAGGACGTGTGCTAGACTTGTTCTCACAGTTCAAATCTCCGTCTGGTGTTTCTGGAAGCGGACAAGATCACAAAAAGACATCTTCCTCATTTAAACTATTCAAACGTCAAAACATTTTTTATATCCTTTTTTGTATCCAGATAGAGTTGTTTAATGTTATAGGGATATTTACTGTTACTTCAACCAATCAGAAACACTATACATCAGTACAAATAACTGATACCAATGAGGACACATCTAAACCAATTCTCAAAGCATCCATGCACTACTATAGCCTCCACAAACAGCTGAACGCTCGTTGTGTTATATATTTGTTCAGCACACGTTGAAGCCTTGGCGAGCTATGTTGTTTAACTGATATCTAAAGGCTTGAACCATACCCAACTATGTGAACAGGTTTCTCATTTAGTTCTGTCACTGTGAGTGAGTGAGTTGGGTTTTACGCTGCTTTGAACAGCATTCCAGTTATATCACGGCGTGTCAGCTTAATGTGGAAGGAAAGCCGAAGTGATGCAGGTCTCAGACGGTATCCCCTTATTGGTGAAACCAAGGAGCACGGGTATGGCGCTGACAAACCTAGAAACATAATCGGAACGAACCCTGTCACTATGCGTTCCTTTAACAAATGTCCTTTACAAATCAGGTCAGATTTCTACACGTGAAAGATCGTCCTCGGTTTAATCACTGACATGGGGAATTACGTTTACAAGAGCCAATCTGGACATTGTCGGTTGTCAATTTTGTATATCTTCAACTGTGCATGGAGATAAAAATTATCTCTATTTTAAAATTCAGCGCCGGCAGAATTTGAATACTTTTACATATCTTGCAGACGTAACATACAGCAGACCGTCACCATCAAGACAGACACCAACAGGATGTTCCAGACCATCCTGGCGTGTGAGGACATCTCTGACAAACTGCCCCGATTGTGTCAGCTGAATCACCTTGTGGGAGCCATAGTCTACAAGCAGGATATCTCCAGTGCTGGTTGTTGTGATACCCCAAGGATATGTCAGAGCTCTGTCTCCTGTGGGAGTGTAGGTGAAAACAGCGGCTCCTTCACTGGTCACAGATACAAGGGATTTTACGTCTCTTTCACTGACTATCAAGTTGTTGTTCCTGGTGACGTGGATGTGGTCTTGATTCCCTATCACCCCCGTGTTGATAGACCTCAGTATCCTCCCTGTCATGTCCAATATGTCCACAGAGTGAGACTGTCTATCTGTACCTGCCGCCAGCTGTGAAGGACTCAGAGAGGCTAGGGCGAAGTACTGCTTGCTTGTTTTGATAGTTGACAGTAATACAGGATCTGGGGTAACATTCACTGTAACTATTTCCATTCTGCTTGGAACACTGACAGCTATCTGAATCTTACATAACTTGGCTATTTGCCAAGGATAATTAGAAAGCAGGAGCTGATTATGAAAGGATTTGAAGTTTGATGTGTAATATGTTTTGAGTATCTTGTTATTGTAATCTGCAACTACCGTTACTTTGATGCCATCAACAGTCAACACTGTGACGTCACGCACCGAAGGATCCTTCCCGTCCCCATCTTCCTTGCAGTCAATGGTGTGATGTAGAACAGGAGAAAACTCGGTGTCACACACATCATGGACGACTTGAACCTCCCCCAGCTGTAGCTCATCAACTGCTTTACTCAGCTTGTCCAGGTCGTGTGTCAATACAACCCTTCCTGCTGCTGGCCTGTTGTCCGTGTCTCTGTTGTCTGGAGACGTCTCACCCATCGACTCATAGACGGCATACATGTCCATCTCACAGTCGGACGTCACAGCATTGGCTGTGAACTCATACTGCTGCTGGTACATCTGTAGCTCGATCTCCTGGGATTGTAGATCTGCTTGTAACGCATGTAATTGTTCATCAGTAGCTTTGTCGATGTCTCCAAGGAGTTGCTTCTCTTTTCTTAAAATAGCACGCATCACTGTTTCCCGTGTCTTTATGACTTGATCTTTGAGGGTTTGTGAATTACTCTTTACATCTTGAATTGTAGATTTTCTCCAGGTTATGTTATTATTAGTAGCTGTCATGTTGATTCTGAGCCGCTCTATTTTGCTTGTCAGTTGTTCCTTCACAAGAGGGGTGGTGCTCTCTATTGTATCAACATCCTTACATGCCCTGTGTCTTATACTGCTGCATATCGTGCATATTGCCTGCTTGCAGTCCTTACAGAACAACTTCACCTTTTCATCTCTGTGGACTTGACACATGAAGCGACGCTTGACCTTTGTTTTGGTGTGATCAGACAAGTGAGCGACTTCATGATCAGACAGCCCTGGCATCATGTTGTGCATCTGGAGACATCCTTCACAGAACACAACATCGCAGACAGAGCAACAAGAAGTGGCTGGAGTTGTCTTTCCTTGTTTTGTACAAACGCTGCACACATGTTCCTCCACAGCTGAAAAGGCAAATGTTCTTGATTTCATTGGTCATAAAACATGATGAGAATCTGACATTATCTAGGGATATAATAACATTAAACATGTTACTTTTGTCATAAAGGTACACGCCCATTATGAAGGCGAATATATCACATAACACATGTTGTAATTAGATATTATTGCTTTAGGAATCCCTGGTCAGTATCTGAGCTAGTGTTTATCATAACCAGAACGGGTGTATAGCTCTATTTAAGTTGGGAGTCCAAAATGACAGGAGAGTCTACAATAAGATGTTTATAAATGTTAACGTTACAGGTGCTTTGTCACAGTGGAGGGTCAGCTCTGCAAATTGCACCGTCTTAATGACAAGGCCAACCATGTGTCCTCATCGATTTGAAAAGATGTCAGAGACCAGATTTATATTAAATAGAAATGCAAAGTGTTTGTTTCTTTCTGTTATAACACGTTTGGTTTATGAAATCCGACACAGACAATAACGATATATGAGCTAACTTCTGTTTTAGTTTCGAGAAACAACCCACATAGCCATTGCTCCTTTGGTTTTAGAACCAATGGAGCTAACAAAAGACCACCAGAGTTTGAAAAGAAGTATAACCTTTCCGGCGCATGGGATTAATTCAATTAACACCTTTTTACATATTTTTGATGGGGCTACCATGCGACATTCTTTGGCCTTGAAAAATGTCAAGCGCGACGACAAATGGTCTATGTGGCATTGTCGCGCTTTTGATAATATTGACACTTTTGCTTGTTTTTGTTAGGACGACAATGCTGACATTCTGGTATTCCACAGAACCGATCTAATATCCATTAGACAAAGAATGTGCTCTTTTGTCTTGGTATTTGCTTTGAACACTTTGAAATAATTATCCACCTCAACACCTTGGATTTTATTGAAAAAAATAAATTGTCCCAGAAAATTCTTCACAAAAACTTATTGTGCTTCTGATATACGCGCAACTAAGATCAACTCCACAGATAAAAATCATAACAATTATTTACTAGCTTGTAAACAACATTTACAAGGAGTGACGAGTAGCAAGGAGTAGGTGAATACATTGTATGTAATTTTACTTAGTTATGGCACTATATGTTTGAGTTACATTAGATTTCATCGGTAATTTGTTTGTCTTTGTGAGATACTTATCCTGCATTAAATCTATTGACATGAAGTCATAATAAGCCATTATATGAGCGAATGCTTGTTTATGTCCGCGTGTGAGTGTGTTTACATATCTCAAACCAAGGTATATTAGTCAGGCAGTACAATAATAAGCTGATTACCCCTTGTGCCGGGTCCAAAGTCGTCCATCAGCCCCTGTATGACATGGCTTGGTTTCAGCTGACTGACCCACTCCTCTACTGGACTGTCAGGGTTGGTCACACTCGTCAGTTGTCTACAGGAGGGACATGGGATGGACTTGGCTTGTACTGCTTCCGGCTGTGTGTAGGTGTATTTCAGCAGACAGGACTTACAGAATGTATGATGACACTGAAGTGTGGCTGGGTCTGTGAACACCTCAGAACAGATGACACAGGTGAGGTGGTTTTCTGTGAGCTTCTTAGCGGTCGCCATCTGAAGCAAATCGGACAGCTAAATGAAGTATAGATTCATGTGTTGTAGACATAATCATAAAACATGTACATGATCGCATCAACCCTGACGTCCAAAGACGTAACATCTTTCCAAGCAGTGAGACGGGAGAGAAAAGGAGACGACACACTGCATTGTATATCTGTGGTGCTGTCTGTGGGTAAAGGGGGGTAACTCTTGTTGTCATACTCTACCCTGAGCAGTGAACATGATGAATGAATACCATGTTTTGAAAACATGATCAACTGTCGTTTCTGTTATGGACCAATTTCCACGAACACAAAGGCATTTTTTATGTTGGTGAAATATCAATAGTGTCACACTCTTTGTCATAGTAGGGTCAGTGGAGGATAAGTTCAATATTTCGTCATAGCAGAGTGACTCTTTATTTCACTATCATATTTAATAAGATACATTTTCATATGAACTTCCATAAACATTTGATAGATCTTTCATTTTGTATTCTGTCCATGGAGGTTCTACAACATATTTAACCACTATGATTCTGTGCTTCGTAAGAAGCAACTAAAACGTGGATTGGATGGCGTGAACACAGCTTTGTGTCACACTTTGTGTCGGAATTACTGCTCATTCTGGGCCGAGACATGACTATTTACAGATAGCCAGGCTTGAACATTGCTGAATGTGGATTATTTATATTCTGACATTGACAAAAACATCACAGGTTAAGGAATATAGGTTCCCCAACAAAATGGGAGTTGCATGGATCTGAATATTGTAAGATATCAAGTGGCGGTTGATTCTTTGTCTTTCAAGGTCACTGGCCACTCTGGACTGTTTGGATTATTTTGTATGGAATGTATTTATTTGGTAAAATCCACGTGAAAACATTAACATCAAACTGACTTCAATTAACTCCTCAACATGTATTTATTGTATGTATGTATTTTCTACTATTTCAATATTGTTTGTTTCCTCACTCACGCACACACGTACTTGCTATTGATCCACCGCACTCCTATATACACATAGACAAGAGGATATATTATACACGCGACATTGTGTGGATGTTGTTCAATGGGACATAACTCTGATCAAAACTTGGACATCACACCAACATCTTGCTTGACGCGAGAAGCTCTCCCAGGTGTTAGTTTACGTTGATAACAATAAATCTTATCATTAATCCGCGATTCAGATTCAGCTGCTAACTTACATGATACAGAAATATATGGATGTAATCATTGTTGACTCCTGTCGCATGCATCGATATAAAACTTTCTGTGTTCAGCTGAAACCGAGGTGCTTGCAGGTTTACATTATAACACAGGTAACGCAGCAATGTACTGTTAGCGAATGTAAAATCTATATTTGTGGATGAAATGTTATCTAACTACGTGACATACCGATATTACGATGGCCGCGTCTCCTCTCTGAAGGCGTCTCACGTCCTGGTTGCTGCCTCGTGTCACGTGACATAACTTAAACCACGTGATCCGTTGACGTCCGTTGACAACCTTATAATAGTTTACACATGTGTTTGTGACCACTCAGAATACATCGTGCTAAAATTGACATACATAGTTTCTCATATTATCTAATGAACCAGAGTATATTTGCAATATCATATGAAAATCACAACTGTTATATACGGTGGCCCATAAGGGACATGGGGTATGATTATATTTGTATCACAAATTGTGTTAATTTGCAAAAGGTTACGATAAAAGTAAGTGAAATATCAAAACATTGAAAAACAGACTCCATGTCCCTTATGGGCCACGGTAGTTATACATGGCAATATATCGTAGTTGTATCATACGGAATACAATCAGTCGTGGTACAACCCGTAACGATAGGAGAAGAGTTGCGTCCCTTAGGATAAACTGGAACAAATTATGTTTGTTCACAACTCGTGTTCGATGATTTTGTCTTTGTGACTATAAGTTGTGTTAAATCCATTAAGTTATGGACTATGGGCGATGGGAAAAGAAAGTATACACTTGATAAATGGATTTGAAATTGTGAGCCCCGTGTTCCTTGTGACGTCGTGTGCACGTCACCTGTGAGATACTCATTGATGTGATGCGTGTGATATTGCCTTTGATTATCGTATCAAATACATCATCATGGAATAACCGTTCCTTGTTTGTGTTATTTGTAGCCACCCTCACATGTGTGTACTTTCTTTAGCCCGGCAGTTAACGGCGGACTTTAAATATAAATAACCCTGGTACAGATAAACTAGTGATCATTGATGTTTGAGAGTACAATACAGAGAGGAAATTAATTTGAAAAAAATCAACTTTGTGGTATAGATATACATCAAGAAGAACACCCAGCACTATGGGGAAAGTGTTGAAGTATGGAGAGCCCTGATCGGCACGTTTGTGACCCAAGTTCACAGGCAAGTGGAAAGATTTCACCTCCACCTCTGTGTCCGCCTTAACGGTGGACACAACAATGGCGTACAGGATTGTGTTGTGTACAACTGTTCTTATCACAACATGGACCACGGGATTGATCACTGCATCATCTATGGAACATGCGATGTCTACACTGGATTCGGTTTCAAAGGTGAGATATGTATGAATGTACAGGACAGAGCAACCTTGTTAAAATACCACAGACAGGACATTATGCATGAAGTTAGGAGACATCCGTTTGTTTCACTGCTATTGGTTGCCGGTGTCATAGATTCGAACCCGAGACATACTAGTGGGGACTTCGCAGGATTGGAATCAGCAATTATACATCAGATTAAGGAATCTGAAGACAGATTATCAAGAGACATACGATCTTTGAGAGAAGAACTTCATTCAATCAAGGCAGAGGTGAACTTAGAACAGAAGTCAGAAGTCAGTGTGAACAGAGAAGAACAGGTTATTCTCAGACAAGATGTTGACAAAGTATCCAACAAAGAAGATGAACTGTATTACTGGTCTGACATTATTTGTGACCTAGATTCCAGAGTAGAACATCAGGAAAGACAGAGCAGACGAAATAATTTGATTGTATTTGGGGTTCCAGAGGGAATAGAGGAATCTTATAAAGTGTGCAAGGAAAAGATACTAGACATATTTAATAGAGCCAGACAACAGAATCCTGCATATGAGGAACTTGCTGATAGAGACTTAGAACGTGCACACAGGATATCGATCAAAACAACAAATAAATCCCGCCCACTTATAGTGAAAATTGCCCATTTGGATGATAAAATCCAAACACTTGGATTTAGGGATACCCTGAGAGAAAGGGGATATGGTGTGGCTAATGACCTAACATATTCCAATCGACAAGAGCTAGGCAGGTTACGTCGTGAGAATCCAGATAAGAGGGGTTCTTTTATAAAGGAGGGATATCTGTGGAGGATGTGAAGAAGGATAGTGAGATGAGAGATAGTCAAGAGACTCCAGAGACACAGACGGGAGAGAAGGGATAGACAGAACATCAGAACATCACCCTCACAAGGACATATACGGGGAGGTTCACACACAGGACCACGACTTCTGAGTTCTCACTCTAAGGCCTGTGACAGGACAGCAACCCACTAGGGATGCGACGAGACCGAGCGTGATTGCAGGACGCCTCATGTAGATCCGACAGATGATGCCGATTATTGTAAAATTTGAGAATAGAATATTTGTTTCCTGGAATGTATCAGGACTTAATTATAAATTAACTGATCAGGACTTGACCGATGATTTAAACTCATTTGACTTCATCGGCATAACAGAAACACGGATGAAAGGTGTAGACATATTAGTTTGATATTTCAAGGATTCAAGCTTTGGATCAAAGAAGCTGAAAAGATATCCAACTTTGGTAGATGAATTGGAAAGTTATTGTGTTCTCTATATAAAGATGTGAAGGTGTGTGTCCGGAACAATGGAGCTATATCGGATACTTTTGTAAGTAGCACGGTTGTCCGACAAGGGTGTATATTAAGTCCCTTCCTTTTTTTCCTTTTCAGAAATGAATTAGCATATTAAATCCAAATAATTGCAGTGATAGAATACAACTACACCCCGAAACTATTAAACGAGCACAATACCTGGCTTGCAAAAGAAAATACATGTATTGGAGAGTTATTGTGACGGGACAAAACTTACTGTAAATATGGATAAAACCAAAGTTGTAGTTTTTAAAAATGGTGGTAAGTATCCAGAAAAGAAAAATGGCTTTATAGAGGGAAGCCTGTAGAAGTTGTTCCATTTTATGAATACTTACCACTTACAATAACTTAGTCAAGGAATGCACATAACATTTCATTGCAAGCCAAAAGAATTTGTGTATGCATATTAAAAGGTTCTGGACAATATTACATATGATGTTTACTTTAAAATATTTGATACAAAAATAAGCCCCATTCTATTGTATGGATCAGAAATGTGGGGCCGAGAACATTTGGATGTCATTGAAAAAGTACAATTATATGCATGTAAAAAGTTCTTGGGTGTAAAATCTAGCACAGAAAACTTAAGGGTATATGGTGAATGCGGAAGGTTTCCCATGTACACTGAAAAGCAAAAGAAACGTCATGTGGATGTATCATATAAATATCTATATTTTCAAATGCTTATATATGTAAGTAAAGACATCGGGGAAAGTCAGTGTTTGACCCACATGAAATTAACAGTCTGGGGAATGTTTTTGCGAATTGTGAATTTGGGGAGGCACCAGAAGACATCACAGCTGGGGGGTTCAAAATCAGTACCTGGTGTGGCCACCACGGGCGTTGACTACAGCCACACATCTCCTGTACATGAAGTGGACTAGCCTGTTGATGAAGGCCATTGGGATATGGGCCCATATCCTCAGGAACGCTACACGCAGTTTTGCTGCAGTTGTCGGCCTTGGGCGTACGTCGTTGAGTCGGCGTTGGATCTCATCTCACAAGTGTTTAATGGGATTCAAATCCGGACTGAGGACAGGCCAAGGCATGATTTGGATGTTGTGATGCTGGAGGAAGTCCCTGGTGACTCTGGCAGTGTGTGAACGGGCGTTGTCCTTCTGAAAGGTGTAGTTTTGATGACGGGCAAAAAAAGGCACAATATGGGGTCTGAGGACTTGGTCAATGTAGCAGAGAGCTGTGATGCCATTTCCCCTGCCTGGACCAATATTCTGAAAGACCACAGGTCCCACTCTCTGGTTCAGTCCGATTCCACCCCAAACCATGATGCCTGGGCCGCCCCACTGGTCTCATTCAATAACACAAGCATCAGCATAACGTTCGCCCCTCCTTCGCCAGACCCTGACCGTGCCATCCGCCGTTGAAACACAGTAGCGACTTTCATCAGTGAAGATGATTCTTCTCCATTGCTGTTGACGCCAATTTTGATGCTGCCTGGCACATTGCAGTCGGGGCTGTCGGTGACGATCTCTCAGGATGGGTACACGAGCAGGACGGTGGCACGAGATATTGTTGGCAGTTAGGCGACGTCTAACTGTACGATCACTCAAGGCACGCTGGTGGTTGCCAATGGTTTGCCAAGCTGGCGGTTCTGCGGATGTTGGCGTATCATGAACCGATCTTGTTTGGAAGTAGTGACTCTAGGACGACCACTACGCGGTCGGTCGTCGGTGGTGTTGGTGGTGTTGTGGCGATGTTGTAAACGATATATCGTTCTGACGTCGACATTGAATGCATTTGCAACGACCTCTGCACTCTGGCCTGCTTGCAGTCTTCCGATCGCTTGTTGTCTCTCATTTCCTGATAATCTTGGCATGGCTGATGAATCGAAATAACGAAAGCCAGCTTAACAGTTTTGGGTGTCTTTTATATATACCCATACCATCCACGATATGCACGTGCATCATGTTTTTGACAAGACTTTTCCGCAACTGAGTCCCATTGCACTTTTGTAGGCTGCGTTTGGGCAAAGCACTCCATTTTAAACTCAATTGTTAAATGGACTTTAAGGCAACAAAAAGAAGCAGTAGAACGTTAAATGAGTTTATTGACCACAGAACATGTAACTGCCAGTGTCTGTTAAGTTTTATCATTATTTTCAGAAGTGACGTTTCTTTTGCCTTTCAGTTTATATCTATAGTTACTTATGGGCCAAGTTATTAGATATGCCATCTTCAAGATACCCTAGAACATGTTAGGATATGATGCTTCTGGGAATCAAAATTGGGTATCAAAAGTTAAAAACATGTTATACGAATGTGTATATGGTTCACTTTGTTCACACCCTCTTCATATTCTGGGTCGTACCATGGATAGACCCCAGTGTCACAACCACAAGCATTGCGAAGACGGTAATAAAATGATCGAGTAACTCCATCATGTCGCTTAAGATACTGCGTTTGTGCCAAGGCTGGGCATCCACTGACAATGGACAGTCTCATTAAATTCATTATATAATCTACATTTCATATTTACATTTTGATGCAAAATCACACACTGACGGTTTCGAGTGGGAAGTGTCTGGTCCTGAGCAGCAAACAGAAAGCCTTCTGTTTCACATACACAGGCCAGCCAA